TGAGAAGCTGCTGCTGCTGCTCGTGAGAAGCTGCTGCTCGTGAGAAGCTGCTGCCTGCTGCTGCTCGTGCACTAAAATGAAAAGAAAACCATGTAGAGAAATATTTGGGTTCAAAACTGCAAGTTGTTTCAGTCAAACTTGTTGCGCTAAAGTCCAGAGAAAGAATGAAGGACTCGGATCAGTCCAAACCACTTTAATCAGAGATCAGAACCTGCAGCTGCCCCATCGAACCAGAATCAGAGTCCCGAGACATCTCTCTCTGAACTCTGATCAGGTCTCCCGCTGCGCGCGCTCAGATCGTCTTTTTACTTTTTTATGTCACTAGATAAGGTGATAAAGCAGTCCAGGTCCAGCAGGTCCAGCAGGCCCCAGGACGGGCCAATGCTCTCCAACATGCTCCGTGTGTAAAAGCTGCGTGTAAAGACTGGAGGTGGAGCCTGAACTGTTGATCCGATATTTCTTCTTCTTCCAACAGCGATGATGACAGGGTGACAAACAAAAGAGACACTATTATAAGCTTTACTATTGATAAACAGAGAAATATCTAAATCTACACCACTCTGTGAACAAAGAACACCTTATTCATGACTGCACTTTGTTACATATATATTTATATTTACATTTTCTAAAGAATGACTTTTGTTGCAAACTTTTCCAAATCTGTTGACTGTGAATGTACCCACTTACATTACTGTGTGGCAAAATTGAACATGTGCGCCGGACATTCAAGGTGTGTATGAATAGAGTGTGCAAGGTGACGAAAGACCCCCAAGGCCCCCCACCTCAAAAATGAATCCGGCGCCGCTGTTCCTAGCCAGACGCTCTTGGGAGTACTGTGTCTGTCCTGCGTTTTCAACAGCTACCTGATCCATTTTATGACCAGGTGGTAATCAGTTAACAGTTGACAGCTCAGCTCCTCTCTGCACATGAGTCTTCAAGACATATGGCTTCAGATCTGATGACATGAAACTGTAAATTACCCAGTGGTACCAGGACTTGGTGTCCTGATTCTGTGTGGACCTCTGAACAACCTCAGGCTCAAACAAGGTGTTTGTTATGGACTAACCACAGCTAGCACAGAGGTCCAACAACAAAACACCTCTCTGGTTCAGATCAAGCAGGCCATTCCTCCCAATCACACTCTTCAGGTTGTACTGTCATCTCGTACACAGGTGTTGACATCCCCCTGAGGGACAATGGAGCCTCCACACAGAGCATCTTTAGAACAAAGGCTGGGGATTATAAGACGTCCAGTATACTCACACGTACGTACGTATGTCCACGTGGAGGTACGTGCGTACTGTTCGCAGAGGGTTGAGACTTCATACTCGAGCATCCACCCTAAGCGGCTGCAGAGCAGCTCTACAGACAAGGGGTGTTTACCTTCAGGACAAATTGAGGTCGCCGATTGGTCATTTGCTGACACGCCTACTGGATTGATTGACAGATTGGAAAAAAAAAAAAAAACAAGAGCTGGCAGCTCCAGCCGCAGCGGTGTTCTGTGTTTATATGTTTAATAAAAAGATCTAAAAAAATTTTTTTTAATGGGGAGCGCTGGCCCTGCAGCCCACACATCAGACCAGCCCATCAGGAAATCTCCAGACCCTCCCGCAGCCATGCTGGACCTGATTTTAATTCGCTCATGACAAATTCCTTCATTTCTCACCATTTCAGTCATGGCATCAACGGAGGAGGAAGAGATCACTGCCTCTTGGCAAAAAAAACAAAAGAAAAGGCCAGATTAGAGATGAAGAAGGGGAATTTAATACATTGGTGTCACATACAAAACAGTCCGTCGCCGAGCAGTTTATTGTGCGACACCGATTACGCGTATGCGGTTGTAAAAATTGAGCTTTGCGTGGACATACCCTGCGTAGGTACGTACCTCCGCACCTCCACATACGGACATATGCGAGAGCATACTGGGGGCTTAAGCTGCTGCTAGACGCATAGGTGCAAACAAAAGTCCAAACCCTTTCCCCAACCCAAAGGAACAGGGAAGCCACTGTTTTGTTCACTAGTGAACAACAATTGGTCTGCAAAGTGGAGTTGGCTCAGGGATGCACAAGCTCCTGCTTGCCTACTCTCATTTTTCTGCAACCTGGACCTAAAAAGTTGATTGCAAGTGATCAAACCACATATGTGATTACCCATTTTTGTCATAACCACCACTGAATTAAGTCACAGATGCATTATTTTTCAAAGGGCAAGATTTAACTACCACTAGTACATTTATACAGGACATGTTTTTTTTAGAATTGAAAGAAAAATATTGCTTAAATGACATGCATTTTCAGTGAACTTGTGTTTTATGTTTTTATAGAACACCCTTGTGTCCATGGACTCAGTAAGTCGAGGAGAAAATGTAGCCCAAGAAAGTCAACCAGGCACAGGTACCAATCGTTTTTTTCACATTCAAGTAATAACTGTTGTCACAAAAGGTTTGTAAAGATGTAGGACCAAAAGACAGATCAAGTCTCAAGAAACAGACATCCATGTAGACAAAAGGAAAATAGTTCCTTTGCTTTTAACCAAGAAACTGAACAGATCCAAGAACATGAGTGATGCAACAAAAAGTCGAGTGATGAAGAGATGAAAGAAAAGAAACCCTCAAATTAAATATACTGAGGTTAATAATCTAAAGAAAAAGTTGCAGGTGGGATGTTTGGAAACATAAACACAGTGGGAATATGAGACAGAAAGTCACTTTAACCAAAAGCCCAAGATACATTTAAACAAAATAATACAGGGAGAAATAAATAGAGATCAAGAAAACAAAATGTATACAGATAAGATTGCAATAACAAAACCAAGCATATTTATATATCCGTTATTTGTGATATCAGTGAAATGTGTTTATGACATTTTACTTGACAGAGAATCACAAATTGCCCTCTTTCCCTAACGTGGACTAAATTTAGACTAGAGCTTTTACCAAAATAATAAAAATCTCTTGAAGTTCTGATCCATGATCTGAAGTTCATTCACCACCACTGATTTCAGTGTTAGACTATCTCCCAAACAGTTTTGTTTCTTTCAATAGTTATGGCTACCAAAGGGTCTCGTTTGTCTCTGTGTGTCCCTGTGATGGACTTGTGACCTGTCCAGGGTAAACCCCACCCCTCACACAGTGACTGCTGGACATGGGCACCATTGACCCCAGTGACCCAAAATGGAAGAAGCGGGTAAAAGATAATGGATAGATGGATGGATGGATGGCTACCAAAGGCCCCACCACCACCACTACCACGGTCATTTTACAAATTCAAGTTCAATCCTTAAAGATGTCTATAAGGTTTGATGTTTCTTTAATACATTAAATGAAATTAAACATTTTTTGTCTCAATAGCCAGTAAACTAAAAATGTCTAAATATATCCATCCATCCATCATCTTTACCTACTTCTTCCTTTTTGGGTCACGAGGGTCACTGGTGCCCATATCCAGCAGTCACTGCACAAGAGGTGGGGGACACTCTGGACAGGTCTCCAGTCCATCATAGAGACAAACAACCATTCATTCTCTAACTCACACCTAGGGACAATTTAGAGTTACCAGTCAGCCTAACATTTTTGGTCTGTGGTCGGAAACCGGAGTACCGTGGGAGAAAACCAATTCAAATTAGAATCAGAATCAGACATGAGGGCTCTCCAGGACCCTGTCGTTTTGTTGAAAAGATTTTGTTGATTGTGTTGAACGTCCATCTCACCAGATCCATAATATTTTTCGTTCGGAAGATGTGTAACAGGAGCTCCGAGATACAGACAGAGCAAAAATGCAGGAGGAAGCGGAGAACAGGGGAGGGAGAGGAAAATGCGTCCGCCTTGAGCGAGAGCGAGTAGGGAAAAAAAATCAGAATGAATTACTGGTACATGCATTTTTTATTTAAACTAAATAGGATATTTTGTTTTTTGATCATTTATGTTATCACTGCAATATCACTGAGTGAGAATTTGATTATTTAAAAAAATTCTAGACTTTTGTAGACTTTCAAACGGTGTTGCGATGTTGTCCCAGTTGATGCTCTGTGATTGTTTTTTTTTAAACGACCGTCAGACTTTGCTTTTCTGTCTTGTGTATTTTTTGTTTTCATTGTAAATAAATTAAATTAGAAGAGCTAAACTACTGGGGCTAAATGGTGTCTAAATTATCCAGAAATATTCAGAGGTACAACTCCCCCGTGTCAGAATGCATAAATATAGCTGAAGCTCGCCAACTCTGATTTTTATAGTTGCAGCTGCAATGTTGTCGGTGGTGATTGTGTTACTTTTACTGCAGGTGTTAATGAGACCCACTTTGGAGCGCTGAATGAAAGCCCATTTTTCCTGTTGGGGAGGGTGGTCATGCAGCAGAGTTACGTCTGCGCTCTCATAGCCATGATGGTAATCATCATTTTTCTACTAAAAAATAGTTTGGTACGCTGAATCGATGCAGTATTTATTATTTTGTGACCGTTGAAGTGAATATTTAACGTTTCACCTCACAGATCGGCTGTTCTTGTTCATCTCCAATCTGTTGATGTTTTTAGGTTTGGAGCATCACATATCACAGCTGGCTGACTTTTGTTCTGCTGCTGTGGGCTTGTCTCATCTGGATGTTGCGTTCCAGGTACTGTTAAAACATGTAACTTCAGCGGATCAATAGTGTGATTTTAAAAAGCTTTTCTTTTTTTTTTCCTCTGAAAGAGTTGAACATAAATTCAAAACACCTCTCCACATAAAAATTGTGGGTTTTTGGAGGATGTTCTATGTACTTATTGATATGTGCTTAGAACTTAAATGGATATTGAAACCATTTTAAAGTGTTTTTTTTATTTATTTTTTATTCAAAGAATTAACATCTTACCTTTTGTAGAAAGCTTTTAAAACAACTTAAGTTTAGAGAAATACAGTTTATGGTAATTCTGACAGGACTGATGAGCTGGAAGCTAATCTGAACACCGCTAAGACCAAAGTGGATTGCTGCCGTTTTAAAACAATTCCAGTTCCCCACATTTTATAACGGCTTATGCAAAAGAATTTGCCTATACACCTGTGTCAGTTTCAAATTAGTTTGCTATATGTAGATTTCAGTGGGTATTTGCAAAGACTACAGCAACAGCCAGTAGTGGCAATTTTAGTGCAGCCTGGTGCACTTCCTGCAAAAATATTATATTTCTGACAGAAATATGGCTGTGCTGTTCATCAGTCCTGTTGAATTTATTTCACCAAACTCTTGTTAATTAACCATCTAAAACAGGTTAAACATTAGTTTCCCATGTGTTTCTCCACAAAACCCCACTTTAAAGTAGCTGGAATATCTGTTTAGCACTAGAAATCTGTCATGTTTGTGGTGAAAGTGAACATCTCCCTCATGTGTTAATCTTCAGTGAGTTAAAGATGTACTGATAAAGTGTGGAAAGCATTTAAGTGTGTTTTGCTGAGGAAAAACAGTCCACAGGGACTGAACCTACATATATTTGTTTCAAACCATGAACCTGAATTGTGTAAAATTCTTTTTTTGTCAGGCGGCACGCAGCCACATTGTGTTCTCCATTCATCCTGCTGTATGGCCTGGCTCTGTGCTGTCTTCAGTACGTCTGGGCCATGGACCTAGAACCTGAGCTGCCCACCACTGTAGGAACCATGAGTCTTAGACAACTGGGACTGGACAAAGCCCAGTACCCCTGCCTGAGACTTGGGGCTATGGTAAGATTTAAACCGTTCTTCCAAGAACTGGTCAGTAACTCTGTTATGATGGTGTATGCTTGTTCAGAGAAAACCTTTTCAGAGATACTTTTTGATGTAAAGAGAAATTATTCAACTTCACAATTCAAGGTTCAAGGTTCTTTACTGTGATTCACATCATGTGGTGGGATGAAATTGTGTACTTAAGGTCCCAGTTACCCCCAAAAAAAAAAAAAAAAAAAAAGTATAAAAAGAAAAAGTATATAAGGCTCTAAGATATATGCTAAACGAACACTAAACAATATGCTAAAAGATCTAAAATATATTCTAAAACACTAATAATGTAAAAATATAACGGTATATTAAATATTCAAATAGTATAATATTTTATATAATATATATATACATATACACATATATATATATATATATATATATATATACACATATATATGTATATGTATATATGTATATATGTATATGTATATATGTATATATGTATATGTATACATATATATGTATATGTATATATGTATATATGTATATGTATATGTATGTATATGTATATATATATGTATATATATGTATATGTAGTGAGTCACGTGGGTACGTGTCACTTGTTGTAGTATGACAATATATCCCCGTTTATATGCATACTATATTCACGAGTTCCTCATCTTTCTGACTGTAATGTCGTGTATTGAATTCAACAGAAATGCGAACGAGAGACGTTATTATCTTTGACCCATCAAATGAATGGAGTCATTTATTTTCAGAATCAAAGTTTAACATCAAACATTTACATTAATTTGGCAAAATATGAAAATAATAACAGACAAGTTTCACAAATATTGAACTTCAAATCACTCGGCGGTGATTTGAGGACTTTGCTTCAGATATTTCTAAAAATATCTGTACTGATTTATGAGAGAGAGGTGAGTTTAAGAGGAAATTGAGATTTATCTTACAGAGGAATATGTGAGGGAATTTAATCTGTTTGACCAGAAATTGCACGCTCCCATCAGGTATCTCAGCTTATCCCAGGTACACTTTAGTCGAAGAAGAAACCGTTACCTTGTTGACGATAGATCACCTCAGTAAGAACCCTTCAGACTGATATCAGCGTCTCCGTTGAGAACAGCTAAAATCCTTGGAGAGTCGTGCGTGGTTAGTTCAAAACAGAATTATAATCCCAAAACGTCTCTGGATTCTCGGCAACTCTGACTCTTCATTGTCAGCAGCTCTCAGACTCTTTCAGATCTTCTCAGACTCCAACTCCAAAACTCTCCATAACTGAATTCTCTTCTGAACTCCTTGAGAACTAACTGCACTCTCGAATTCCCCATGAATTCTCTTCTGAACTCCTTGAGAACTAACTGCACTCCCCTAGAACCGGGAAGTTGTCACATTTTAAATGAGTTTACTTCCGAGTTTACTTCAGAGCTTTCTGATTCGTGGATGGACCAGAAAGAGGAGTGGTTTTGACGTAAGGTGTTTATCAAAAGTCGAGGTCAGAGAATGAAATTTGTTTAACAACTGACAGAGAGATTATTGCAGAAAAGCAGACTTTTTGGAGCCTCTATTCTGATTATCTTCTCGAATAGTTAAACATGACATTTCTTCTTCAGTAAACATTTAGTTGACCGAAGCTTCAACTTTCACATACTCACGACTTGGCTCATTTCAGACAGAAAATCAAGAAATGCATATTCAGGTGATTTCTTCTTTGAATGAGGAATAAAAATCATTACTTACTGTTTATGTAAAATAAAAATGAGTAGTTCTTTTCAACCTGTAAGCATTGAGTGAAACTAACACAATTTGATTATCAAAACATTTGTAAGACAGTAATGATTATAGAGGATTGTCTTTTCTGCTTGATTAATTCAAGAAAGAAAGTCATCAGATGGCTCAGACTTATTCAGATCAATGAAAATAACAGTCTCTGTCCATCTGGTAGATTTGAGGTCATCAGGGTCAGATAAGGGTCAGATCATCAGGTCATCAGGTTCACTACAGTCCCCCCTTTGGAAATCATCACCTGTCCATGGAGATGAATTCCAACCGTGAACTTAGACCTTCAAATGTCCTTGAGCTTGATGTAATCCAGCAAGGAAGACCAAAGTCAGAAGTAATCCAGCAAGGAAGACCAAAGTCAGAAGTAATCCAGCAAGGAAACAAAGTCAAGGTAATTCCACAATGTTCTTGGTATTCCATTGTGTTGATTATAATCCCATATCGTCTCGATAATTCCATTGTAGCAATGCTTTAACCCCTTGGAAACAGAGTCTGTAATCCATTGGAAAAAGTCATATAATCCACAACGGTAAATCCACAGCGATTGGAAGTGTTGATTAATCAGCATACAGAGGGGTACCCTTGGGTTGAACTGAAGAAGCGGCCACTGGATGAAGAGTTGAGACCAACGCCAGGATTGCAGGTCGCCTCCAGCGAAGGTTGTCTCCAGCGACGTCCAGCCTGTGCCGTTCTGGTTCAATGTGTCATGCAATTATGTGGTTTAAGGTGGGCTTATGAAGGGGATTTTACATAAGGCCTTAAACTATATGCATCTGGTGTGTAAGCTATTATGGTTGGGAACAGCTACAACTACCAGTTAAGGGGTGGAGAATGCTGAAAAAGGGGTAACTACAGGGGTTTATGCCTATAGAAGAGTGTTCCAAACTATTTTTCCATTTCTAACTTGGTTTAAGTTAGCTTTACATGGTAAAATATAGTTTGGTGTAATTGTCTGTTGTCTTTTTAGACGAACGACTTGAGATTGGGTGTTTGGTTTTCCCATAAATGTTTTGGAAGTCTATGGCGAGACTTATCAAAAAGAATTAGCTATCCCCCCGAATAGAATTGTTCGAGTAGGTTCGGCTTAAGCGTTGTGAGATCAATGTAGATTATGGTACTCAAGGTAGCAATAATATACATTGACTCCGCAAAGATTGCAATTTAGTGAATGAACTGCATGTTGGCATGGTCAAAGGCTTCTTAGTCTCTAACTTACTACACAACAAAATTCATTCTTACCTCAGAAACAATACCAAAATCAACTAAACAACGTTCCAACATCGACAAGAGTAGTGACTAAGCATCTAGAAACATCGTTTCACTGCTTCTCCTCACCCTGGTTGCCAGATTTCAGTCACGCTGTCCCGTTTTATCAAGGGTAGGTCCTGTGAGTTTAAACTATGGTTAAGTTTATTATCCATTAGTTATCTTCTGCTTGGATGACCCTTGTTCCCACGAGGTCAGATTTTGTGAGATCTTTGTCTCCTAAGGAGTTATTGCACGCCTTGTGTTGTTTAATCTGGTTACGATGTACCCATTTAACAGTTGGCTCTTTTTGGCCTTTACTGATTTTTATCTGGTAGATAATTGGAGACACTTTGTCGGTTATCAGATGGGGTCCAGTCCATCTGGGCATCAGCTTACGGGCGAGAGTTCCGGTCCCGGACTCTACTCTCCCAGTTTTGGGTGCAAACGTGTAGTACCAGACCCTGTCTCCCACTTGGAGTTCCTCGTGAGAGGCCTTTTGGTCGTAGTACGCTTTGCGTCCTTCAGCTGATTTTTCCAGGTTTTTCTGTGCGAAAGCAAAAGTGTTCTTAAGGTGTCTTTCCAAGTCTTTCATGTATTGTTGTGTGGTGTAGGCTGTTGCCATGGCAGCATCGCCTGGTTGGTACAACAGGTGCAGAGGGAGAGTCATTTGTCGACCCGTCATCATCTCGAAAGGAGCGATGCCAGTCGACGTGTGTGGAGTGGCCCTTATGGCCATGAGGACCAGAGGGAGTTTCACGTCCCAGTCCTTGTGGTTTGCGGCTACGTATTTTTTCAAAATACTCACCACAGTCCTGTTTGCTCTCTCAACCTGGCCTGAAGCCTGTGGGTGGTAGCCAATATGGAAGTTGGCTTTGACGCCTAGCGTCTTCCACAGTTCCTTCATTACTTCACCTGTGAAGTGTGTACCTTGGTCTGAGTTCACCCTAAGGGGAAGTCCAAACCTTGAAAATACATGATTCATTAATAACATAGCAGTGGTTTGTGCTGTGTCATTAGGGGCTGGTAGACATTCTACCCATTTGGTAAACGCGCAGGTTACCGTGAGAAAATATTTATTTCCTCTAGAGGTCTTAGTGAGTGGTCCGACCCAGTCAATCTGGAGGTCCGACCATGGAAATGCAATGCCTCTACTATGCAGTGGTGCTCTGTGAAGTGGTCTGGATGGTTGAAACTGGCCACAGATCAGGCACCCTTTTATGTAGTCCTTGACATCCTTTTTCATTCCAGGCCAATAAGCAATTTGTTTTAATGCTTTCAGCGTGGCATTGTCACCCTTATGTCCTGCGGACGGAAGGTCATGTGCATGGACTAACATCACCCCCCTGTGGTCATGGGGGACCACGAACACAGGTGAGGACGTCCGTCCATGAGCAAAAGTTAGGATGCCTTTAAGTAGTTTTAGCTGTTTGCGCAGCTGAAAGAGGACTTTAAGGTCTGGATTGGAATCCAGCTCGTCTTTCGATGGAGTGTATTTGTCTGGGTCAGTCAGATACAGCATCATCGAGTTAATTGCAGGATCCAACTTCTGAAGTTGGATGATGTCTGGGTCAGTCAGCATCGGGCGCACAGAAACTGTGTTATCAGCAGGTTTAGCTGCAGCTTGTGCGCGTGTGACTGCCATTACCTCAGTTGTAGCTTGTGACGACTGAGTGTTGAGTAGCCAGGAGGGGTCAAAGGACCACGTGGGTCCGTCAACGGCTCCTTCTTTGGCTAGGGAGTCTGCAAGGTCATTGTAGTGCTTGTCATCGCCTGGGACTCTAGAGTGTCCTGGAACTTTCTTCCAGAATATCTGTAGATCATGTGATGTCACTAAGTGATCACATGTCATGAAAAGCTCTTTGTGTTTTACCACCTTTTT